CTACTCGCCCGTTTCCCGCCCCGCCCCACCCCGACCGCCACCTTGACATGCCGGCTGGCCCCGCGGCGGCAATAGGATGTCGACCGCGCGGCCGTTCAGGGACACTTTCCGGAAGTGACCCGTTTCGAAGCTTGTCTTTATCACTGACACCGCGACCACCGCGACACTCTCTCATACCCGGCGGCGCACCCTTTATCGTTTACGCGTTTGTTTCCTCTTCCGCCGCGTTGCCAGACAAATCTTTCCAGGACTACAACTACACAGTGCTGCAGTAACTGCAGTACTTGCAGTGGTGCCTTCGGTGAACACGATGTTTTACCGTCTCGCCGAGTGAGACGGAGCGATAGTCGCGTTGCCGGCGCGCTTGGCAAGCGGAACGTGTCCTCGAAGCAACGAGCACGTCGCTTTGGCTTGTTGTGCCAATGTAGGGGCTATTTTGGGCAAAACAGTGATTCCCTATTCACGGAGCGGACCAAAAACTTGTAGAACAAGTGTGCATCTTTGCACACTTCAAGTGCGATTTTCACTAAATTAGCTCACTTCACAGGGAAGTACGAATGGCTATTCACACACCTACAGGTGAGCGACATTCACACACTTGCGTTTCCCGAGCAGAGGAGAAATTTGATAATGAAACATTGATTGCGGGTGTAGACCGTGGCGTTTGGAGTTACCATGTCTAGATGTGAGCGTGACGTGTGTGTATGTCGTGGTGGTTGTGGGGGGGGGGGGGGGGATGGCGCGGTTTGCTCGTATTTTTGTAAACTGATCATGCTGCTTAGTCACCGGCCGCACGTTCCGCCTCATCTCGTACAATGTCTGGCCTTGGCGTGCATGGCTCCGGACCAGAGCGTCTTGCCCCGCGCCGGCGGCCGCGCGCTGCTGTGCGCACGACTCTGGCTGCATTCTTCCGCCTCCACGGGCCCTGCCCCGTGCCGCGCCCTTCCCCGCAACACCGTGACGTAGCGTGTGGCATGCGTTATGTGGTATTTTCAGTTTCAATCAGTCTACATACAACTGTCAGTATACACATGCCATGTACACTTTATTTGAAGAGTAAAATGTACACATTTGAATTGGCAGAGTTTACATTTGCTCTCAGTTTTATCCGGATACCCGGGTAACCCTATTTCACTGACTATAAATAATAAAAGGATTGGTTTTCAACAACTATTTTTTAAAAGTGACTCGCCTCGGTCCGTGCGTTGCGTTGCAAACTACAGTATTTTGTTCTTCTAGCGTTATTGCGCTAGATTTTTACCGTTACACTAGTACGCCATTACTGCGCGTCATTACAGGCCAGGGTGCGCGAGTCAGTTTTCAGCTACTCCCCCTCGATCGCTGTGAAAAGTACCCTCGTAAATTTACAACATTTGTTGTAATTTTTATTTGCAAAATATTTTGCAAATTTTATTTACAAAATATGTAAATTAGCGCGTAAATTTGACAGCTCATAGCTGTTTATCGATCAATGCCAAGTCAATGCAAAGGGCTTGTAAATTTACAATTTCAAATTCTGATTTGACGACTCATGCACCAAGGAAAACTTTCTCGCTCACCTGCGATTATTTTCCACACTGATTAGACACGACTCACTTTTCGTCGAGGTGGCGCGTCTGCTTCCTTTGGTGTTTGCGGGTTTCCCACCATTATTTGCTATGGAAATGGCGGGAGGTGTGCGGGCGTGGGCCACGCCCAGTAGTGGTCCAGGAGTCCGGCCGGCCCGCCTTGCATGCATACCACACCGGAGCTGCGCTTGATTCACTGCGCGATCCTTGGGCAGTGCGCGGCGGGTGCGGCGAGAGAAGGGCTGGAAGTCCTGGAGGTCCTGCCTGCACGGCAGCATGCTCGATTGGACACCGCCTTCGCCGTTTCCGCCGACGGGACGGGACGTGGTAGTCATGGCCAATATCACTGAAAATTGGTTGTCGTCTTTTGACGCCAAGTACTGGCGTCGTTTTGGAAGACTCCAAATTTTGGCGTCGAAAGACGTCAAATTTTGGCGTCGAAAGACGTCAAATTTTGGCGTCTCATGACGTCAAATCTTGGTACCTTATAACGCAAATGTATGGGCGTCATAAGACGCCAACCAGTTAACTGGAAGGACTTTTCCCTTTTGCTCTATATTTTTTAAAAATCTTTT